CAAAGGCTAGGAAAATACACCCTTGCTCAACTAAGTTGGTCCCACCACTACAATATAGTGCCACGTGTCGCTTCCATTTACGAACCGTAACAATAGTCCCCCAAGTCCATGCGTGGACTTTCAAGAAGTTATTTAATGCATAAGGTTAATGAAGTTGCCTTCACAGCTAAAGTCCTTTTGAAGCTGAGGCGAGCTCATATTCGAACTGGCGAGGCTGATTTCCTTTTTAAAGCTAGAGGCGAGCTCATATTCGAACTGGCCGATGCTGATTTCCTTTTGGCGAGGCGAGTTCATAGTCGAACTGGTGAGGCTGAATGCCTTTTTAAAGCTGAGGTGAGCTCATATTCGATTGGCCGAGGCTGAATTCCTTTTTAAAGCTTTTAAAGCTGAGGCGAGCTCATATTCAAACTGGCCGAAGCTCATTTCCTTTTGGTAAGGCGAGTTCATAGTCGAACTGGCGAGGCTGAATCCCTTTTTAAACCTTCTGGACATTAGTGCCTGCGATGTGATGGTTTTACATGTTTCCAAGGTGAGTTGGCTGCATCGAAATGATTTTCAATAACCGTACAGCCGTTTGCATTCAATGCATCATGATGGCTAATTATTAAGATGCATGATGTTGGGGAAAACGTTCAAACGCCAAGCCCTACTGGTATACACACGCATTAATCTGGGACGTTGAAGATGTAAACCGTTTGAAATCCGTGGCTCAGATCTATTTAATTTTGGACGCTTCAGATCAGCTGGGGTTTGATCCAATGGCTAGGATTGAGTCCTTCACTAGTATAAAGGCTAGAATCTTACCATTTCCACACTTTATCTTTGTGAAACACTCATCAAAACCTCTCAAGTTTTCTTGCTGTCAAATTTTTTCCGGTGAACCTCCTCATCCATTTAGGTATTCTTTCATTAAGGAGCACTCTCTTCACCCTTCAACACCATTTTCATAGTCTTTCCACAATTTTCTTTACTTGCAATGTCTATCGAGGCTTCCATGGCTATTATAGTGGTTAGGAGTGGGGAAGAGTCGATATCTGGGGCTTCGGGTGAGTGGTATAGCATGTCCGAGGAGCCTATAGATTACTAAGCGGGTTGGGGGGCAACCAAGATTCCATCCAACATAACCTCTTCCAAATTAGCCGAACTTAGGGATACCTATCACATACCCCACTACGTAAAGCTAATAGTTCCTGACCCCTACGAAAGAGCCCTTTTTCAAGGCCAAATTGCATAGCTTTCAGTGAATACCTTCTTAAAGCAGGTGTGTGTCTACCTCTGCACCCTTTCTTTAGAGCGGTACTGAGGACGTTCATGTTGTCCCTTACCCAAATTCTTCGAAATGGGTGGAGCCAAGTCGTAGGGACCTACTTCCTTTGGAAGGAAGTATCTTTAGGTGGGGACTTGCCCTTGCATGTCTTCGAGACTTTATTCCATGATAGGGTCATAGGGAAGGACGACTCGAAGAGGTAGTACTATATTATCCCTTGGGGCTCTCATGCACCCTTCGTGGTTGGGCTCCCCTCCTCCATAAAGGGGTGGAAGGAGTCCTGGTTCTCTGTGACTGGTAGGTGGCAGATCGTTAGGGAGATGATGTCCCAGCTGTTATCGTGTCGACCCAGTACTACGAAGCTTGTGAGAGTGCCTCGTCTTGAATTACTTGTGATTTAAGCATAACTCCTTGATACTGATCCTTATTTGTTGATTCGAAGATTGCAACTCTCAGTACGAACTAATTGAGGTGGAGTGGGATATTATTGCAGATATTTATAAATGATCTCCGAAGCTTTGCAGCTTTGCCCATCTCATTGACAGGGATCGATACTTCATTGACTTCGGACTCATGGCTCCCAAGGGTAAGAAGCTTTCTAACTTATAATTTTCATATGAACTCAGTAATCTTAAATTTTCCTCTATCAATTGCAGATAAATTCAGTAAGAAGGACTATGCTCTACCTAATATGGCCAGTATAATGAAGGCCACGTCCACTACAGGGGCGAAGGTGTTTAAGCCTGGGTCCTCGGGGGCCAAGCAAGTGAAATCGAAGCTCGATCACCTCAGCAAAGATAAGAATGATAAAGTGGCTGAGGAGGAGGCCCTCCAAGAGACCACAAAGGAGGGTAAGCTGCCTGCTGTCAAGGGCAAGGGCATAGCTGAAGAGCCCCTGAAGAAGAGAAAGTTGGGCCCAGGTAGTGGGTCTTCAAGTTTTGGGACATCGGTTTCCTCCACAAAGAAGGGCATTACTAAGCAGCCGAATCTTCTCCAATCTTCAATTGACACTGCAATAGTGGCACAATCGAGGAAGATAATAGAGGAGGCGGTGAAGGCCTTCGAGGCCACAAAAAAGGCACCAGTGGAGAGGACCTCAGGGAAGTCTGGGAACTTTCTGGGAGGGAGGGAGGACAAGATAGCCCCTGCGCTTATAGAGATGCTCCCCCCTGAGGTGAGAGGTGCCACCGAGGGGTTCAACAAATTCTGGATGGAGAGATGGCAGAATTATGTTGCCATCTGCGACGTAGTGGACCTCACTGCCACTTTGGTGAGCCAAACTGCCAGGGCTTTTGGCGTGGCACTTGAATGTCAAACAGTCCTTTCTGACATTCAGTCAAGGAACAGAGCCTCTCGAGATGAACTGGTAGCAGTTAAAGTTGAACTTGAAAAGAAAAAGGAAGCAAACATTGAGCTAAGAATCCAAAAAGATGTAGATGATGCCAAGCGAGATTCCCTCCTAGTTGAAATTGAAGTTTTGAAGAAGGAGGTGCACGAGTCTCAGTGCGAGGTGGTAGCTCTAACAAAGAAGGTGGAACTATCTGATAACCACCAAAGAGTCACTCCAGAGTCCCTAGATAAGGCGAACTTGGAGCTTACTGGATGCAAAGATGCCAATAAGTTCATGGAGAACGAACTAAAGTGGTATGCCTCAGAAGTGAAAAAATACGAAGCTAATGTTCTTGAAGCGGGTGATATCGCAGTAAAGAACTATATTGCTAATTTCCATCTCACTGAGGAGTATTGTTGTTTCAGCATCTACTGGAGCAAGGTGGCTTTCACTGAAGTGTTTGATAGAATCGGGGAGGTGCATCCAGAGCTAGATATTTCTGAGCTCAAAGCAGAATTCATTGAGGAGGAGGTCCCTCAGACCCCAACTGAGGGGGATGAAATAATGGAAGATGAACTTGAGGACGTAATCATAGTGGAGCCCCAGCCGCCATCAACAGAGATTACTACTCTGGATGCTCAAGCTCCCCCACTCCCTAATTCATCTTAAATTTTGTAAAGCCCATGGCCTCTGTATGTAATCTTGAATTTCAATGAATGAAAATTTTTGCTTTTTGCTTTATATGTTGTCATTTATTTTATGTTGTTTAAACCTTAACTGAATAACTGATCTAGTAGGATAAAACTAAACGTTAACCTTAATTGACTGACATTCGACAATTCTTAAAGGTAGGCTCTTGAACGTCTTTATTCTAAAGTTACTTTACTTGTGCTTCTTTACTTGGTGGATGGTTCATCCAAATAAAGGCTTCTCCCTTGACGTTCAACCTGGTCAAAGGGAGGCATGTGATGTATGCCTCGGAGTTCTAACTAGGTGGGCTTTCTTTAAGGTTCCATCCTCTCCTACGAGGTACCCATGCTTCTCTATTTAGTGGATGGTTCACCCAAGTAAAGGCTTTTCCCTTGACGTTCAGCCTCGTCAAAGGGAAGCATGTGATGTATGCCTTGGAGTTCTAACGAGGTGACCTTTCTTTGAATTTCCATCCTCTCCTCCGAGGCACCCACACTTCCCTACTAGGTGGATGGTTCACCTAAGCAAAGGCTTCTCCCTTGACGTTCAGCCTCATCAAAGGAAGGCATATGATGTACGCTTCGGAGTTCTAACGAGGTGACCTTTCTTTGAGATTCCATCCTCTCCTCCAAGGCGCCCACACTTCCCTACTTGG